GACGACAGCGTGACACACAAAACATTATGTTTGAAGTAATCCGTTACCAATGGGTTGATTAAATTATAACTGATATCGAGGCGGGATGCGGTAAGATCTTGACGAGAAATTTTCACAAGCAACAGAGATGAAAGTTCATTGACTTTTCAATAATGTAAAATGCGAAAGACTGCTTTTTTTGAAGTGTTCCGTTACGAATTCTTATTATCAAAGAACGAGATGTCACATTAATATTATTGAAGTGGAGATTTGTGTATTACCATTGATTAATCGGCGACTTTTTCGGTTTTTCTGACGATATACTGATGGATCGAACAAGTTTCCATGTACCAAGATCAAGGCCAGACTAGTTTGCAGTTAGAGCTTTTCAGCTTAATACAGAGATGCTATAGTAGTACATAATATAAGATAGTAGGCGATTAAGAAGCGGTAAACTTCGTCTCGTCCTTTTCTTCTTCACAAATGAGGATGTTCAAAGTCTTCATTTTAATTACAGTACGAAGTGCTCGATCCCGATTGCATGAAAATTTGAGAAGGAAACTTGTTGCCTTTTTGGTCACTGTCGCTATGCTCTTTGGCGAAGTGCGACGACCGTCTGCCTTGCCACGCTGGCTTCTTCCTTCCTCTTCCCTCACAGCCACGGCCTACTGCCGAGGGGGCGAATAACGTTGCTAAGAACAATAAAAAGCGTGTTGAAAGGAACACGTGTTACATATGACCACCCCACCTACATCAACTGATAAGGCGTTTAGAATGCCGCCTTCCAGATTCGGACTCCAGATCTTAGGGGCACACTTTCCTCAATTTAAATTCTCAACCCATACGCTTTAAGCATTTTTGCACGCATGTTTCGCAGTTGTCTGTTCAGAAAATGGATAGAAAAGGATTGTTTGGTAAGTGGTCCAGTTTTGGTTGATTGACAAACTAGCGCGCGTCATGGTCATTTTGTCATCCGCACACGTAGTCTTGATTAAAAATATTCCCTCCGGATACTGCAAACGACGCTGAAGCTCAGAGTTGTACATACACCTAACAATGTCGCATCTAACCTACAGTGAGTCCCACCGAGCACTAAATAAAACGTCATAGAACACTACGTATGGAACCGAATTACTTCCCACCACACCAAATTTCTTTCACAATAGACATCAAACCACCCAAAACGCTCTTCAAATTGCAGCAGAAGAAAAAAAATCATACTGCACGCAAAAGGAACGGGGGAAAAGGCGAATAGCAGGATGGCAGTTGGTTGCGACGTCGGCGTGACACGACGCGGAAACGGGACAACCCAATGTTCTGTTGAAAACAATTGATGGATGTATGTCTGTTTTTCAAATAAAATCATGATGGCATTACCCGCGAGGGGAGTGGGTCGTTTTAATGTCGATGCTTCAAGTAAACAGAATAGGGGATATTCGTCACTCCCTTTTATTGTAAATGATGAGATATTAGTTATTGCAAAGAATTTAAGCATCTGATCACTGTCTCCACTAGATCATTCGTTATTTTTCTGTCCGTGAAGTTCAAGAAAGAACACATCAAGATGACAAGAAAGATGAATTACAGAGAGGCGTACGACAGAGAGAAACTGAAGGTCCCAACCGCACTAGCAAGTGCGCACGCACGCACGCGCGCACACACACACCACACACACACACACAACACAGACCACACTACGTTTGTCTTTAGTTCGTTCATTATATAAAAACTGTTTTGATAATGTAACCATCGGTAATTAATCTGCCAAGGTATGTCGAAGTTCTTTATTACGCGAAGTTCTTTATTACCTTTTCATTTCAGTTTGGGGGTGGATCGCGTCCAAACAATTTTTAGAATGGTTTCTGTCTATAGTTCTGCATTTTTAATAGCTCCGTTTTCCAAGATTTTTCCGTTTCTTTCACGAAACAGCAATGCAGAAATATTCTATTTATTAAAATATTCTATTATTATCTACTTCTATTTAACAATTAAATTTAGAATTCCGATCATAATAAATTTATGTATCCTTTCCGGGTCTTTTGCCGGATAATGGAGCAAATGGCGGCGGCGTTGGTGATTAGCTACCGACTGTTGTACCCAAGTTCGGTTCAAACCCGATTCGAAGCCGGTGGAATTTTAAGGGCGACAAAATCTTTCGTACGTCTTTCTCGGAGGGAAGTAAAGCCGGCTATTCCCATGTTAGAGGATTTACTTACTTTTACTACTACTACTGAGCAAATTCAAATCGCCTGTTTCTCGCCCCCTAAAAAATACGTCCTTTCTCTGCTAGTTGATGAAAGGACGTAGCGGGGAAAATTTGCGTGGTCAGACGGAAGAGCGGGCCTGATGGCCCGAGGCCTCGCTACCGTAATTGAGGCAAAATTCAATGTCAATTCAAAACCTTCATGAAAAGAGTTCTCCGGGCCGGAAAAGGGCGCGGCAGCCAATAGCTCATGACTCGAGTCATGCAACTCGGCGACAGATTCTCACTCGTGATAGGAAACCGACAGTCCACGTTGCATACGAAAACGGTTTGCTTTGTTACAGACATACGAGTGCAAACATTTTTTACCGTGTGAAAAACAGGGCAATCTGTCTGTGTGAGTATTGGCTTGTGAGTATTTGCCAAGTTGGTTGTTATCCCTGACGATCCACTCACTCGTCTTTCTACGCGGACCAATTTATCCTTCCAGAACAGCGGGATTTCAAATAGACTTGATGACGAGGTTAGCCTCGTGCATTCGAAAGTGCTCATCTCTAAGTAAAATGAAGATAATGCATCTATTATTCCTGCTACATCCTGCAATATTCCCACTGCAGCAGTTCGCGGCTGAGATGAGTGAGGGACAGAGACCGTTTGCAAAACTGTTAATTTCATGATTTCTTTCTTCAAGAAGTGAGTGAGTGAGTAGTGAGTGAGTGAGTTGAGTGAGTGAGTGAGTGAGTGACGTGAGTGGTGAGTGAGTGAGTGAAGTGGAGTGAGTGAGTGAGTGGGATGTGAGTGATGTGGATGATCGTGAGTAGTGAGAGTGCGAGTGAGAGTGCGAGTGAGAGTGCGAGTGAGAGTGCGAGTGAGAGTGAGGAGTGAGAGTGAGGAGTGAGAGTGAGGAGTGAGAGTGAGGAGTGAGTTAGAGTGAGGAGTGAGTTAGAGTGAGGAGTGAGTTAGAGTGAGGAGTGAGTGAGACTGAGGAGTGAGTGAGAGTTGGAGGGGGAGATAAAGAAAGCAGCCACATGCGCTGGTTGGTCGTCTTCAGAGCACCATGGACCCCTTCTATCCATCCCATCGCATTACGCATTATTTGTAACGGCTTCGCAATATTATGCTACAACATGAACCTGCAAAAGTGATTTCATGCGAAACTGGTCTGCTCCGAGACTACAAATCAGGCCTATCCAGTAAACTCGCGCTTTATTACTACCCCTCTCAGTCGCTCTGGCTTACTCTCTTGGAAATAATGGGAGAGAGAATTAGTTTCAGGCCTCGACGCAACACGTAATTTTAGAAAATTCAGAGAATTCAAGGAAAATTAGACCTGGGTCATTTCTTGCTTATATCTGTAGGAAACAAAGAAAAAAATTGGCACAGATTTTGAGAATTTTTTTATAAATTGCATTTATTTAAGAATAAATTACGTGGAAATTACTGTCTTTTAAGTAGTTTTTTTAAACTCATTTTTGTTTAAGGCAACAACCTCTATCTTTAGTTTTCTAGTTTCAAAATGTAACTTTTTTGGCAATTTTCGGAAATGGAAAGTTTGCCGGAAATGAGACTACCACCAATTTTTACTGTTCTTTGATAATGCGAGAAAAAAACTTAAAGAAAAGGTTTGGAGGAGGTTTTGAGAATATAATAGTTTAAAAATTAGTTATATTTCACGCAAAAATACGCGAAAAGTACTGAAATTTTCGAAAAATTGAGTATTTTATTAAAAAATCTTTAAGGGATTTTACTATGGGAAAAAAATAATTAAATTTTTGAGTTTGTTATCAGTTTTAGAAAGACCCCCCAAAAATCTTTTGCAATTTTCTAAAAATCAGCTATAGAAATGAAAATGAGACCTGCGTCATTCTTTTAATCGTCTTTTAAGGATTCAATAATTCAAGGACAAAGTTTAAGACCCAGGGACAGACACTTTTGCCCGCATATCGATTCTCAGGAATATAATTTACTTATCACAATAATTAAGTTACCACTTTAAATTAATACCATAATTTACTATAAAAGGTGTCTCGCCGGCCGCCGGTGCGCGCCCCTCCGTCTTCATGGCACCTCCGCGAACGCCTCGCGGCCGCCACGCCCCCACGCTGGGGGATATCACCACAACCCGCCTTGTTCTTTCGACGTTCCTCAATGTTCTCGCAGCGCCGCGCCCCGCCGCGCCCCGCTTCCCCCTCCCCGCGCCGCGCCCCGCCGCGCCCTCATCGGCTACAGTTTGCGCGGATCTCGTCACAATCCTCTCCTTGCTCCCTTTACACCCGAACGCGTTCGAGTGCTCTACCGCGCTCTCTGACGGCACTCGCGCAGAGCCAACCTGCTTGTTTCATGGCCGCCTGAAGTTCCTTGGCTACGTCTGTGTTATACTTCATTGCATCGCGGCGACGCCAATTGATTTCTTCATTAGTGATTTCAGGCGCGTCAGCTGCTAAGGTCATTACTCCGGAAAGTTTAGTGCAGGTTTTTATCGCGGGAGGTGACGGTGATATTCTTTCACTGGATGGCGAGTTCCGGCACCGACCTACCCGCCGGTTTGGTGGTTTTTTCCCAATCAGGTGTCTCCCACCAGCTGAGGCACCGCCCCAGCCAGGACAAGCTCTAAGCTCTATGATCTAGATGAACAAGTACATCTACTGTCGTATATCTGTCGAATCTCCTGGTCAGAGGCATGCAGTGACTCAATTGGCCTGAGCGGTGACGGCGTCATCATGATGAAGATAATTAGGGTTAGAAACTATCCTCAATGTAATTTATACATTAACATATTTAACTACACCATTCCCGCACTCGCGAGTAACATAGGGCGTTAACTGCGTCCATCACGTTGCATCGGCTGCAAAAGCAAATATGTGAAGAGGTGTAGTTAGACCACAACTGCAACTTACATGACGGGTCAACGTCCCTGCGGGATCTCATCGCTGTCCAAGCGACATATACCCGACTTCACTTTATTTAATGTCAACCAACAGTCAAAAACTGTATGTGGTGCCCTAAGAAGAAAAGTGTATACTGAGCACATTTTCTTAAAATCTGAAATCTCTACCCTTACCCATATAGGGTGGAAACTAGTGTTTTTGGCAAAACTTGATAAGAAAATATTAGTTTCCTTTATCAGCTTTTTAAAAAGCTAACGATTTTCGCTATTATTCCTCTTTGTGTCCTTCATGAAGGAATCGAGTTACTGCCGGGAGAAAATTGAGAACAGTAATTTGAATGACTTATTACTCACTGAACTTTTAGCAAACGCACACGGGTACTGAAGTTACATTCGCTATCTCTTTACGCCAAAACAATCGTCGCCATATTGCAATGTAAGCTTGGGAGTCATGCTATAGGCAGAATGGGCGAGTCCAAAATTGAAAAGGCGCACATTGGAATTTGCGCACGTTGAGTCTTCTGATGCTATATAGCTACGGAATAGTTATTAAAATCAGTTTCAATAGTAGTTTTCTGGCAATTTACCATGAGTAGTCCATGTTACAAGGGCAAAAAGTGCGCTCATATTACTCTAAAACTAGACGACGAAATCGAGTCGAACTCTACAAGAACTCATCATTCGATTAACATTATAAAAAGGGCATATTAAATTAATCCTTTATCTCGCTCTAACCATCTTTAAAAAACTAAGGAAGTGTTGCTGCCCCCAGGAATCAACCTTGCTTACATGAAAACAAAGTTTGAACACTAATTAACGCAGAGTTGGCTACATTTTAACCAACTGCACAACCACCCCACCCGCTTGAAGATTATTTGAACACACCGTAAAAACATTTAAATGTAACATATAAATGTTTACGTAAATCTATTAAGAATTAAAATTAAATAATTTAAAAAAATTAAAAACTGTGAAACTCAACTCTTGTCTAATGTTCTTTCGGGCATCTAATCAACCCCAGAATACGCAGATGGAGCACTACCTCTGAACACTCCAGGAGCAGTTGTTCCGAAGAGTACATTCTTTCAGTGTATTCAGGTGGTTTATTAAAAAAAGAACGTTTGCAAGGCCCTATTTTAGACCACACCATTAAATACTTATTGATTTATATTAGAACATAATTCTGAAGTCAAAATTATCCTACAAAAGATTATCGCAGTAGCTCTATCGTTTATGCTACTCACAACAAAATACTCCTCTAAATCTTATCTTACGGGACGGCAACGGTGGTGCGTACTGTAAACTGCATCGTCCCAGCGATACAATCGCCCGAGCAATGCAGCGATAGAGACCCGTGTCACTTCACGATTCCTGCGTCCCCACAGCTGTTTGAGGGTTCGTCGGAGGCGATGGAGAAGGCGCTCGCGGTTGCTGCGCCACCACCGCTCGATCGCATCGCTAAACAACGCAAAACCACGGTTTGGGAAATTTCTTACAATCTTCTAGGCGGATTTGCATGCAAACCATCAGTTCCCTTCCAAAAGACCGAGGGGCGTCGAATGACACGTCATTTGTCCCGAATGGCGGACGGGAAGATGTCTAACCCTCAGTAACTCACGCACGTACGCACGCACGCACAGTTACGTGAAAACCACACAAGGATATCATACGCTAATTAAGAACTTTTCGTGCTTATTTTTACCTCCAGCTAACTATAATTTCTATTTCCTTGTCTAATAATTTAGTGCCTATTTGCCTACCTGTATTCCACATTTTCAGGGTCTGCACGCCCGACCTCTACGTAGTACAAAATCAATTTGAAGAATTGATAAAAATAACCCCTCTTCCTTGGGTCTGAAACCCTAGTTTGTTAACCAATAGTACCAATAATACTATAGTACTATAGTAAGATATTACGGCACGAAAATGGTACGTTTCCATCCACTTTGCTAAAGTTCCAATGGATTATATTTTTTCTTTAAAGTTGACTATCCATCCAACAAAATACGATAGTCTTACGTTGCTAATAATTGTTAGGATACCATGTATTATTGGAACATATTTGTTCCAATTATAATTTTCATTACGAAACTGATCCCATTTTCGTTGAGTTGGGCTTCACAATGGAAGCGACTAAACAGGATCGGCCGTCGGGACTATGGCGGTGTTGGAGCGCCTTTGGGACGCAACCCGCAGCACGAGCGCGCCCCCAGCGCTGCGGCGCCCCGCAGCGCCCCGCCCCGTCCCGCCCCACCGGCGCCTCCCTGAAGCCATTCACCATGTTCCACCGATTGCATAACTTCCATGTACTTCGACAGATCTTAAAGCAAGATTGCAATATGTTTATAGGCAAGCCTGGCTGTAAGACCGGAAGTTCCACGAAGCAACCACTCATGGCGACCCTATTGATTTTTTTAAAAATCCGATAAGTGTTGAAAGACGAAACTATCGATTTGGGTTACGAAAGGATCTAATAAAAAAAATTCATAAAGGATGAAACAGTGACACACCACTTAATCACACGGAGGGGGAAAATATACGCAAACTTTTTTCCATTAATGTATGTTTCCAAAATTGTACTGCGATCGAGTACAGCTATTGGTGGCTACTGCACAACAAACAGAGCGCACCCCGTCTATATTACACCTCGTTCACGCAGAAGCGACCGGTGTAAAGAGCAAAAACAGTCAGGAATTGCTTTCGGCAACTCAATTTTAGGACATTAACCTAATAACTTTAGAACGACCTTTCAATAAAATTAATACAAAAACATTTATTTTTGTAACTATTTGCACCTTAGCAATATTGTTGAAATACGAATTCGTGAACGTAATTGAAATTCGTTATTCACGAACAAATTCATGTGGTAATTTTTAATTAAAAAATTGAAATTGTAAACAGAAAACTTCACGGATAAATTAAAAATATATTAAAAATGATAAATATTTTATAAAGTGTCAAAATACGAAGAATTGACACCCTGCAGCGTGGAAGATGGACGCGAGACGTGGCCAGCTAAAACGGGCCTGTGGGGCAGGACGGACGTAGGGAAGTTTAACGGTAACAGAGGATCCCAACAATGGATCACCCTTTCAAATTAATTTCCGTTGAAAACTCTAAAAAATAGTATATTCGGGGCATTACATAACTTTCCCATTATAGTCTACATACGTAAACCTTCGAAATATTAATATTCATACCACACGCTTAGTAACCGAGAAAAAAAGTTCTGGAAAATGTCGTCAGAAGTGCGGTAGTCAAATTGGAGGTACTCTGTTCAGAAAAATGGCGCATGCATCATTTTCTGTACAGATTGCGCCCACTCCTGACCCTGACTTCACTGAACCCATTACAGGATGAAAAAAATATTAGCGTGAAGCGGGCTTGAGACCGTGACACTACTCACCGCGTAGTTAAACTGGGAGTTGTATTCTCGATCGTTGGCCCGGATGCGGCGCTCAGTCTCTGCAACACAAAGACGCGCATAAAGTACATTTTACACGCTTCTCTTCACATTGTCTCTCCTTAAATGGATTTCCATGCAACATTCCTCACACCCAGCCTCGCACATAAAGTACACTTTACGCACCACTCTTCCCATTCTCTCGTACATAAAGTCACTTTAGCACCACTCTTCACATGCTCTCTCCTCAAATGAACAAGACACCATTCATCTCGCTCTGCCTCGCACCTCTTTGGGTGTACAGCCTCGATCAGAACTAGTCAATGCATGTGCTTATTGAGTATACGCAGGGAGCTGGTTTCCCAAAATAAGCAGGAATATACAAATGAAATCTTTAACTATTTTCAGAAAATCCTCTGAAACTTGCGCCTGATTATGTACGAAATGTAATTCTCTACCTCCATTCACAAATGTATATATTCCTGCTAAATGTGTATGAATGATATGGACTACACACCCTGTGGATTCATAACCTTAGGTAGAAATTGCGTTCTATTTGCAATTCGCGATTCTTTTGTACCGCGGTGAACAAATTCGCAGCTTTATACACACATATATTTTATTTCTTATTACATTTCCTATTACTCATTTTTTAGAAAATAAATCTTGAAATCAGAGACAGTGAAAATGAAATACGTACGCCGGAATGAAATACATCGTTCAGCAACGCTTCAATTATTACCAGAAAAATCGAGGAAGGATCATAAGCAATCACAGTCGGCATTTCTGAATTAGAAAAATTGGATTGGAACAATTTGATTCGATAGAATGAATGAATAATTCAAGGAAAATCTAAGGAAAGAAATTCCTTTCTCAATATGTGTGTTCAGATATCAAAATTGAACAAAAGTAGCGAGTACACAATGTATGGCATACAACGAAACAACATAACCTCGATTTTATATAACTATTTAGAGTTTGTGTGGTTGTTCATAAAGAACCCTTTCTGAATACTAAAATATAGTAAATGATGTGATGTAACTAAATAAAATTAATATAACTTACTTGCATAGAAATATTATGCTTTTCAAAAACTTATTCTCAATGCTCGAAATTACAACTTCAACTTCACCGTCGTGCGAAATCGTGTGTGCTAGCAACACACCTGCTAATCGCATTTTTTTAATAAGTCATCAACAAAGAATACAGAAAATGTATTTACGTCATCTTATACAGTATTTAATATTCAGATAAATTTAAAAAATGTTTTTGAGAAAATCTTGATTTTAGTATTCCCTATATTTCCCTTAAAATACCGAGAAACTCACCCCAATTTTCAAAAAAACCTACGTGACGAAGTAATAATTACAATTATTGTACAGGACAAATATCATCTGAATAAAAAAAGTTCATCTTCAATATTGAAGTTTTAGGAACCCGAAAAAATTGAAACTTGTTATTTTCGAAAACTTACAGTTATCAGTAAAAATCGGACCAATGACGTATTCACAAGTTTATTTCCCTTCATCTTTACAAGAATTTAAAGAAAAAAATTAGAGAAAATTTTGAGAAAATTTTGAAAATTTCTCCAGGGCTTCATTTAAAGTACTCCGGAAATTTAAAGAATGTTTTCCAAAATTGAAGGACAGAAAAAAAATTGAATCAACTTTCTTGACGATTTTTGACATTCTTTTCATGAGTTTCTCACAAACAGTAGCTTCAGTGAATAATTTTACAAAACCTGTTGCTCGAGCTATTCATTATTTATGAACCATTATGAACCAAAAACTGTGCCCTACCTACAGACGAACTCTGTAACACACGAGAGCAAACTCTGGATTTTCCAAACACCTAACACTTTGCGCCGATGAGTACTCTTGAGTGGGGATATAAGGATCCTTATGTTTATCTAAACAAGAAAAATAGAGACAAAGATCCTACTTCAGTGCCCTGGGTTTGGGTTGCACTGTGAAGGCCGAATACAACGCGCTGAAAAAAAAGCTCAAAATGGATATCCAAAAACCTTCGACCGGCAGATTTCTATTACACAAATATACGCATACAAGAAAGTAGTGTAAGATTCGCCAATCAAATGGAAAGAAATTCAAAACACCGAAAGCATAGTTAAACCAATTAACGGAAATAGACAAGTAATGGTAGCAAAAGAATAAGACATTGGGACGAGCGCCGGAAGAAAATTACACGGCCGTTGGACTCTGGTTGCACAGGGCTCACGACGTCGAGGGGCGGTCCACTGAGTAATGAGAAATCAGCAAATTGACACTGCGACCGCAGAATCGGAAACCGTCGGAAACAGTTGGACACTGCAGCACTAAATCAAATAATGTCAAAGTCAAAGAGAAATCGCTGGATGAGCCTTGTTTGAACTCCAACTTATTGGCGATCTTCAGAATTGTGAAAAGGGACAATAGAGTTGTGCTCGATGAAAAAGGTGTCAGAATATTGGACACCATTAACATAATTGCAAATGGGCCTTTCAACTGAGATGGGCTTCACTCCTAAACCAGACGTGGGCTACACAAATGAAAAAAGTGTGGATTTGAATGTAGATAGTGATATTAATAGTGTAGTGAAAAAAAGTAAAATTGATGAACTCTGTTTCAAAACGTATTAACACTGAAAACTTACTGCACACAATGTGTAATATCCATCAAATAAATATGTTGAACAAATGAGTAGCATCCATTTGGTGGTAAGAGAACTTCGAGATTTTTCGGGCGAATATAAATCATATAAAAGTTATTTACTGGGCAAGATTCCATTACTTCTTTTCAAAAAGACATTGAAAATGTTTCACGTGTTTTAGTGAGAGACAGCAAGTACGAGGGACCTATACCGGTCACGTCATAGGGAAGAAGCAGATATTTGTTGATCAATAGAGAAGCAGATATTTTTTCGAGTTTGTGAAAGATATAACACCCATGTGCAGATAGGTTGGTGAAACTCTTTGTAAAAAGAAATAATGAAACACAGAGAAAAGCGATATGTATTAAGACTGATAATAGAAAGGAATTCATTAACCTGACTAAGGCATTTCTACAAAGATAAAGGAAACAAGTACGAAACGATACAGCAAAGCACGGAAATAGATGAAAGGGTTACTATAGCGGTTTTCAAAACCAGAAGGACATTGTTATCAGATTCCAGTTCACCAATGAGCTCTCGGCAGAAGCCGAGGAAACTGTTGTATACGTTACTCCGATGAAACATAGAGGATAAAGTTCCTTTGAAGTTATGTACTGGGATCCGAACCCACGCAGTCACATTTTAGAGTATTTGGCTCCCAAGTATTCTTCAGAAGTTCGAAGTGAAATACAAGAAAATTAGAGAGAAGAGGCTCATGCAGTATCTTCTTAGGATATTTGAGATGTCGCAGAGCTTACCGCAGCGTCGTCCAAGTGGAAGACCGCGGTGTCATTTAAAGTGGTTATTAGCCGCGAAATGTTATTGGTCAAACCTAAAAGTCCCTTGCATCCATATTAGACAATAGCATTGTACTCCTAGCGTACGTGCCCTGCAAGGGTCAACATCCCCTTAATATAAAAATCGGTGAAGTTTATATTTAAGGATATTTTTTTCTAGAGAATTCAGTAATTCAAAACCATTCCAATGTTTTCCCTGGGTGGTACGACCTGATAGCCCGCACGGTTCCATCCCTCTAACCTGTTTCAGAGCTGCCGGACAAGAAGCCGAGACCAACAATTAAGGGTCACGTGTATTGTTGATCGCCCGAGGAAATAAAATATGGTCCACAACAGTATTAACAGTTTTAGTTGTGGCCTGCGAGGCCTTTCAAGTTGGACACCCCTGGCTTTCCGGATATAATATTTGAAACGAGATTATTATATATGGATCTTAGGAGGTATTTATCAATTCGGAGACGAGGTATAAATCACGGTGCATTTCCAAACACGAATTTTTAAAAATTTGTTTCAAGTCGCTTCAACATTATGTCATTAGCGGCCAACATTGCATTTAACGGTATAGTAACTGTGAAGATGGCATGATATGGTTGTGACAGGGGGTAAAAGGACGAATACAAATACAATGCCCGAAGCGGGACCCGCGTCCCTTTGTTCCGAGATAGCTACGACACTACTGCCTTTACGATCTTGGTCATCCGGACCGGCAAACCCGAAATTTATACGACGTGAATTACCATCTTTTCGCCGAGCCCTCGAATGGAAATTAAGAAAACTGTTCGGCTGAAAATAACGACGTTTTAGTAAACTTGCACGTAAGGCAGAAATGATTATGACCCTGTTTCAGATACTGACGGAATTGGCTGTCAAATCGAAAATATTATTGAAGAAGAAAACATACAGCTAATGATACTATAAATCACTCCTATAATCATGGCACTGAAGCAAGAAACCGCAAATCGCATACAATGAGCCCCCAGTCGTAAGGAATGTTGCTGAACAAGCCTATAGAATCAGCTTCCAAAATGTTTTTAAACGCGATGAATCGCGATTAATCGCTACGAATGAAAGAAAGCATTACAAGAGGTGCCTACAAACTACAATACGTGGGATATATTGAACAAGAAACATTCAATGAACGGACTATTCTTGGGAACAAATGGATCTTTAAAACAAAAGGAGTGGGCAACGTGGTATATATAGCAAGTGGAGCTATGTGGAGCTACAGACAAGTGAGCGTGAGAGATTTCGAGTGTCATTATATTTCACAGTTGAGGCTGGAAATGTTTCGTGTCTTGCTTTCTGTGGTCGCAATGAATGGTTAAGCCCAATACATCGATATAGAAACTATGTACCTAAAAGTAAAATTAGAACGAAATCAGTACATGAAAATTCCAGACGGTGGCTTGGTAGAAGAAACCAGTGTTAAAGCTGAAGAAGAGCTAGTACGAACCTGAACGATCTTGTAAGAACTTGAAGCTGCAAGACACGGGTAGAAGAAATTATGCAATGTACTTAAGCTGTGTGGAATAGAATTGTGTCGGTGATCCTCGAGTGTTTGTGAACGCTCCTGATAAGATCTTGTGTAGTAGATTGTGTCATCGTAGGAGAGAATGCCACTCTCATGAATAATTTAAAAGCGAATTTGAAGAAACGTGAAACTATAAATGGGGTGGACCGTGATCTGAATGAATCATTGCTGAATATCAGTTGTAAGAAAGAATCGTGCTTATTTACTAGACCAGGACACATTTATAGAACAATCATTGAATGAATGCCACGCCTTGAGTACACCTTGGAATAATGAGAATGAAAATGGATGATTTTGATAACTGTAGTAAAAACAACGTGAACTTATATCAAGAAATGCTGTTCTGTCTGGAATACCTTATGACTGTCACTCGTCCAAATTTGGCCTACACTTACAGCATACAGCAATTATCATAAACAACTAAAATAGCACAATCTGCAAGATATTAAAAGAGGATTAAGATATTTGAAAGAAACGAAACGTGTTCATTTGAAAATAAGCGAAGAGCAAGATTTCTAAATGTATACACTCGGACGGTAGCTGGTGCGTTACTAAGTATAGTAAATCGTTTGTGAAGTACACGAAGACCCTAATCACTGTTTAACTGGAAATGTAAGAAGTAAAAAATGGTCACATATTCACAATGGCGTCAGAATTGATTGAGATCTGCGAGAAGTGGATAGCGTCACTCATCCAGGAAATCGGCTTTGAGACCTACGTTCGTTGGACCACCACACGTTTTACTGATAATAAATCAATTACAGACTGGACTACAGATTACAAAGTAACAGTCAGAAATAAACACAGTTTGAAGAAATCTAATTTCGAGAAATGGGACAATGAAATTTGAGAAATAATCCTGAAGCTTCACAGCATACGATATGCATGTGGACATCTTGACCAAAGACGTCGATAAAAATATATTAAGTCGTCGTATGTAGTTATACAGAATTTTAATCTTTCCGTGATTGTTATCTTTCCGTAAAGACACGAAAGAGAGTATTCGTTGATAATAATTTCATATGATAAAAGTTCGCCCCGCCGTTCGCCAGTCCGACATTTGGCAGAGAAAAATTACTCAGTTTAATGTAAATTACGAGAAAATTAGGATATGCGCGAAATGTAAACATATAACAAATCTAATGAAAAATTATCCAATCTGATGTAGAATCCTTAAAAGTTTCTGTCACCACAACATGTGTCCGAATTTCCTGTTGGTTGCTGTTATGGCAGGAAAGATGGCTTTGGGATAGACACAGCTCATTGACAAGTAGACATGCGAGCCGTACCATTTACTGCCGGAGGGTTCGCTCCCCGTTATCATCTACCGAAGCTACTTGGGCTTTCTCCCCGACATAAGCCTGGCGCTCACCCATAAGCTTGCGGTCGCCCCCACACCACGGCAGCGCCGCGCAGAGGTTTCCGAAACTAAAGCCTTTTTCGCTTTGAGGCGCCGGCGTGGCACCTACCCTCTCGGCCCGGACCTTTCGGTTTGATTGATTGAATTAGTGAATCCGAACACGTCAACCGCTAAGGTCATTAGTGCTGAAAGTGTAATGCAAGTGTTTGTTCTTTGCAAATGGCGGTGATCTTCCCCCGCTGGATGGTGAGATATGGCGCCGACCTACCTACCGCTAGCGGCCTGCCTGGAATCTCCCTTCCCCAACCAGACACTCCCACCAGCGGGGCACCGCCCTAGCCGGGACAAAGCTAACGACCGGCCTCCTGGAACGTGTGGTAAATGTCATGGGACACTCGCTATGTAGTTTCTGTCGAAAACCCTGCCACTGTCGGGACTCCAACCCCGGGGTTACCGGTCAGAAACACTGCAATGACATCAGTTGTGCCTAGAGCCACCTCTCCGGTGGACGCAAGGGTTTACCCCACCCCTCTTCCCTTTCGTAGGCGCATTCCACGTGTGCCGCGCTGTCCCACTGAAGTGCGTTGCTACACGCAGAGAAGCGGTCGCTGCATCGTCTAAGTATGTCAGTATAATAACGGTAGGAGGAATCTCCATGCACTCAGGCCGAGATTAAGGAGACAGCGCACAGGTGTGTTTCAACTCTGCGCGTATGATGAAAGGACGTACCAGTTTATCAAATTAATTTTGTGGTGAATTGCTTCATCTTAGCGCGTTCGAGTCAGTAACTTACTCCAAGAGGGATCCTTAGAACAAACATTTGAAAGTACAACGCACACCCAAGAAAAGTATTCCTTCTATTTGTACGTAATTTATAATTTCGACATTTCTCGTCACCTGAAGGCATAATAGCGAACCAACCCGATTCATGACGAACTGCCTGATGAGGGTGTGTGGTATCGTGCGAAAAAACGCCCTCGCGAGAGCGAGAAAGCAGGGAAGAGTTGAGCCACGCGCGCACTGAGTAGGGAAGTACGAGCCGCTTGGCGCGGATGGCGGAGGGGTGTGAGGGGGAGGGGGAGGGGAAGGTTAGGCCGGGACAGGACGGGACGGGACGGGACGGGACGGGACGGACGTGTCGACGCGAACGAGAACTATAGAAAATACTAAGAACCAGTTGCATGTTCATTAAAGAAATAGAGGAGGAGAAGAGAAGAGAAAGGAGAGAAAAGACAGAAACACGAGGAAGATGAGGATGAGGATGAGGATGAGGATGAGGCGGAGCAGGCGGCGGCAAGGACTGGAAATAATCCGAGATCTGGGTTCATAAAATAAACAGAAGTATGCCCAACAGATCAAGTGGAATAAATAAAAAAAATATCCAGTCACCAGTACTTTAGCTACAAAACCCCGTTGTCGGCACTTAGGTTACTGGAGCACAGCGCCATTGCACAGCCGATAAGTCTGGACCAATATAATTCAAGTGGAGGCGTATATGATCGCTCCACATAACCACACAACTGTCCCTGCGGGATGGCCAACCCAATCCGCTACACTTGCGTGGACTAGTCCACGTCATCAACACGGGTGGAACAGCGCATCGGAACGTCCGAAAGGCAATTCCTTGGCGATTTTTGCAAACTGGGGAAAACGCAGGTCGTCTTTACGGCATCCACGACGACCTAGAGCGCGTACCCTTTCGGAAAAGCACGTAATAAAATCCCGTGCGTGCCGCACCGCCCCAGCGCGCGCTAAGCTCCAATAGCGCGTGTGTGGGGAGGGCAGGGGCCGACTGGACACGTGTGCCCAGAGGGCGGGGCGGGGCAGGGTGCGGTGGGCGGGCGGTGGGGTGGGTGGTGGGTGGTGGTGTGGGGTGGGGGACGGAAGCCTCGCCTCCTGCGCCCGTGTAGCTGCGCCAGCAAGCGAGTATTGATCGGCGCTGGGGGCGGAGGGGGGGGCGGGCGCCATTCGCTTATTTTTTCAAGGGAAAGTGCAGCGCCGCGCTTTAAGCGAAGCTCTCAGAGCGGCGACACACGGGAGGTGGGGAGGAAGGCACAAGAGCGAGGGAACGGAGAGGCAAGGAGGAGCAGGAGTAAGGCAAGTAGGTTGAGCAAGGAGGACGATGAGGAGGAGGAGGAGGAAGTTGAAGAAGGAGAGGAAAGACGGGAGGAGGGTGAGGGAAGGGGAGTGGCAGCTCCCGGCTCCTGCGGGATGCAGTGGGCCCGACGCGCAAAGCCAAGCGTCTTCAAGAGGGCAACTGCCAAAATGCAAATCAAAGAGCGGACAACGAAAATAAGCATCGGTTCACAACACAGGCATACGTACGGATGCAGATTGACTCACCGAGGGCGCAGAGGCCACGCGCACACTCGAGCGAGGGGGCGACGGGGCTCCCCGTGCGGGCGGTAGCGGCCCCCTCCGGGCCCGTGCCCCCGCCCCCGCGCCGCCGCCCGTGCCCGCGCCGCTCGCCACACCACCAGCTTCCCAGCACCGACAGCAGCGACTCGCGGAGGCGTGTTGGGGCGGCGGGGCGTGGGTGGTGGGCGACGGCTCGTCCGCCGCCCCCGCTGCCCCGCGCCGCCAGCTCGCAGCCCGGCACTTGCCCGCCCCGCGCTCGCGCGCCGCCTCTTCTGGGTGCGGCTGGCGGTGGCGCTCGCGCGTCGCCTCGCCCTACACCCTCGCTTGGCTCGCCCTCCACTCGAACACCTCGAGCTCTAAGCGTCGGGTCCCGCGGCTGGGGTGGGCTGGGGCTGGGCGCGGGGGGGCGACGGGGGCCCGGCGGAGCCTCCTCCTCCTGCCGCGCCGGCCCTTTGGCGGGCGCCGCGCGGCCGCTCAGCGCGAGCGACGACTGCACCTCCGGGCGCTCGCCCACACACGCACCCGGCCGTCACCACACACCACGCACCGACACCCGCACGCCCGCGCCGACACGGGGCCTTAGAGGCGGCGCCCGGCGGCGGGCGAAGCAGTAACAGCGGCTGCGGCGGCGCGCCGGCAGACACACACGCGCCATGGCCACCCTGCTCCCCAGCCCAGCCCAGCCCGGCCCGGCCACGCGCGAGGCGGTCGATAGGCGGCGCGCAACTGCCTGTGCCTCCGCGTCTGCCTCCGCGGCCGCGGCCAGCGCGCGCCACCGCGCGGAGATGAGCGCCCCCGCCCCGGCGCACGCGCGCCATCGATCGCCAACGCGCACTTTCGCCCCTGCCGCCCGACACCAACAAACCGGCATTCTTACGCTGAGCCGTGACAATCGCACGGCCTCCTTCACCCTTTAACATCTCCTGTCCAATTTCTAAGATGCTAACATTTGCATTCACGTTATACCAAGTTGCAGTTTTAAACGACAGACTTCGTTAAGACCAAATTTCTACCGTCAATAATCTACCTATAGAAACATTCCCAAACGGTTTTTAACATCGGCAATTTTGGAAAATACAACCGAGAATGGGACCTGCGACAATTTTACAATTATAATATTCGAAGGGAAAAAATAACCAAAAATAAACAAGTAGATCTACAAAAGGTTCAGACTTTCTCGTACCACTTGGTTTTCTAATCTCTTCCTTCAGGACAAGCTTTCCTCTTTTATTCCCAGTGCTTCGTCCCTCGTCCCCTCGTCCCTGTGCTTCTGCAGATTTTTCGTTTTCTCAATTTTGCGGTTCCTTAATGTCACAATAGAACTTGTGGTGCTACAACATGTTCTTTCTCGCTTTATTAGCAACGATTACGTAATATTAACTAAACTAAATTGGGTTTCTTTCTCCTCGGGGACAGCTTCGACAAAGCTGTATCTGTCAGCCTGGCAATCCATCCACTCCCTACATCCATCACTTGGATCTTGGAAGCTGGCGACCTCCACTCCCTCAGAATTTCCTCTCTCTCACTCCAGCCTCCCAGGCCGGAACCCTATCTATCGATATCCCGCTGAGGTAGCCACAGCCCTTCTCAGCCAATTCCTCAGATATCGCCTACGCGCCGCTGCGATACTTAGCGGAATGATGGTTAATGATAGGATATGGCGGGGAATGATTAAAGCAGCACATCGGTGGAATGCAAATCGGCCGAAGAAACGAGAGTACTCAGAGGAAAACGACCTTCAACCCGCTGTGTCCCCTAAAAATTCCACTTTAACCGCCGGGGGATCGGATCCGAGGACCAGCGGTGGAACACTTCGCCACGGGCCACCTCTCATACGTAATATTACAATATACACATTGTGAGAGCGTAGGCTGCCGCGGCTGGAGTCAGTATTTGCTAGGCTGTCCGGGTGACGCCGCGTCCGTGGCGAAGGTGTCGACGCTTCGGTTGCCATTCTGCGTCCTTCCTCAGGGCAGTACGCCCATTCTGCGACCTTACATTGCGTCGCCGCACGGCGTGGAGGCGGAAACATAAGCGTAACGCATAGACGTAAGCATTAGCGCAAGTTAAGTGGGAGCGTAGGTTTCCGCGGCCGGAGTCATTATTTACTAGGCTGTCCGGGTGACGCCAACGTTTCGGTCGCCATTCTGCAACCTTCCTCAGGGCGTAACGCCATAAAAATAATATACACCTTTTTGCTCTACGAACACTTCAGTCATCACTTGACAACCGACAAACCAATTGAAACAGCGCCTGCTGTCCGTATCTGCATTATTTCGATAGTCGGTAACAGTAGTAATTTCTTACTTTCGCAAATGAAACAAACATGAATAAATCTCAATTGTTACAGTATTTGCAGCACATCATACAGCTAAGCAAGGACAATGTCACACATGTTAGCCTTAATTATATCGAAGTGGATGTACAAAGAAGTGTATAAATTAAACATCCATAACTGAAGGCTATTTATTACTTCGCGTTAGAAAAATAAGGTTACAAATATTTCGCCTTTCATCAGTGAAATATTATATCTGCAGCACAATAGAAACTAGTGTACGAAATTCATTTTTTTAAAGCAAATACACCATCACAAATTTATCATGTAAGCAAATCTGCGACTGGTGTGTGAAATATCTTAAAACTACACATGTAACTACAGTGCCATACGATGTATTATTTAAGTCGAATATTCTGTATTATTTGTGTGTACAATGTCCCTGCCCACAATATAGTAGAATCTACCATTTTATTAAATGTAGAGACATTGTAACATTAAGAAATGAAGCTCCCTTATGGTTTCATCCATGAAGATGGCCAATGAGAAGAATTCTAAGAATCTCAAACTGTCCCAATTGCGGGGCTTCCATTTCATTGTTAATTGACAGCCCGAACGAAGAACGAAGCGTAGGAAATTTGAATCTGCAATTTCAAAGATTGCAAACGGTACTCTAAGACATACAGATCTTTTATAAATTGCCGTGACCTTCTTCAAACAGATTGCATTTAAAAAATTTCTATCATCAATATAGTACTTTGTTACAATGCAAAGTTAATTTTGCAATTTCAAAAAAAATACAGACCGCCGAAAATGAAAACAGCACTATTTTCTTTAGCGTTCTTTGCCACATCCGATGAATATATTTAAAGAAAATATATTTGAGCAGTTTTTTGTGAAAATAATCCTTTCCTTTTTTTATATTTCACGAAGTAGATATATTTCGTTTTTTAGATAGTATATTTCGTTTTTACATTTCACGTAAGAGGAATGGCGTCAATACATCGGTTATCCCCGCACAGAGAGCAGCTTCGTATTGCACCGTCTCAAATGAAGCCAGTTAGTGTCGCAGCCGGTATGATCCCTACCGATATAACGGCCCGTGAACGGCAGAGGCAAAAACTGCTTGGAACAATTAGCAGAATGGCAACAGCGATGGGGCACTTTCTCCAAGGGAAGGTGGCCCTACCGATTGTTTCCTACAGTTCAATAATAGTCCAATCGAAAACACAGAGGGGTAAATTATTATCTCACGCAGGTTCTGATGGGATATGGATGCTCCAGAGTCGCATTCTCAGGTTCAAACTGGATAATAAATAATCCGTACTGTTCTGTATGCGAATCTACTGTTGCGAACGCCGAACACGTGTTTTGATCCCCCCGCGCTGCTAACTGGCGGCCTCCGATTGGCCGCTGCTTCAGCCAATAGCACACGGCCTAGACTTGAATATAAACACGAGCGCTGACCATCACGGCGCATACCAGCCCTGAGGAAGACCACGACAGGATGGTCGAAACGTCGGCAACTCAGCCTTCGACGCGGCGTCACCCGGACAGCCCAGATCACCCACATGACTCTGGTCGCGGAAGCCTACGACTTCACGTGTTTTTACAGTTAACATGTTTCGAACCTCAACGAAGAGTCACCCTTGAGATGATTGGGATAACCGGATGACTCCAGAAAACCTAGTTGCAAATTAGTATGCATACTTTTGGAACTAATGTATTGCTGGAATTGAAAGTATGCATGAAGAAAGAAAGTATATATAAGTAATATTGTCCCACTCTCACGCGGCTAACACCAGGATATATTAAATACGTCATGCGAGAGTCACTATTCCACACTTTGCTCTGAAAGGCCTATAGGCTGTACCGAAGAGCTACCGCGTAGTACGGACAGCCCTGTGCATTTTGAATATTTCCACCAATCCTCGTAAAAGAAGGCAGGTGCAGGCAGAACAGCACAGACCGACAGACACATTCACAGCCTCAGACAGCCACATCCACCAAATATGCATTCTGACTACACAACGTGTTAAGGGAAAATAACTTACAATAATATATAGGAACCCGATTTGTGCACTTTTTCGTTAGATGGTCCCGATACTGAGAGTTTTCTGTGGAGAAAGAAAAAAAAAGCGACAGGGGATTAGAATGCTAGGTCTTACCTTCCGGTCGCGGGCCGGGGCCCACGTGGGCGGCCATGGGGAGGGCAGCGGGCGGCCACGGGAGCAGGGAGGGGCCTCGGCGCCGACCCAGAGGCCGGCCATGTGCCCAGCGCCCCACGCGTCACCGGTCACCTGCAACACACGCCAAGCCTTTGCTTAGGCCACTCGAGATCTCACCACAGGCGACACGCACAACAATTTCAGTTCCTCACAGATTCACTTCTTCTGCTGAGTCACCTCACTCCACAGAAATCCCAAATCTCGTATGTACCTGTACATTTATTTTGAAAGAAAGGACAGAATAATTAGTCACTATAAAATTAAAGGGGCCTTAATTTCTCGCAATTTAATCACAACACTGCGAAATACTTTGTGTGTGTGTGTATATATATATTATATAATATATATATATATATATATAGAGAGAGAGAGGGAGAGAGAGAGAGAAAGAGAGAGAGATAGTCGAAAATATTTTGAAATGACAGGACAAGGACAGGGCAGAGCAGAGCAAGACAAAAGAGGCCACCCAAGGACAGACTTCGGGCAGGCCACACTAGCAAAAATCCATTCCTGTCTAAAATTGATGAATACGGCAAATAAAACACAGGCAAGAGTAAAGGGATTCGGTTTCAACTCCTAAGCGATTTAATCGTATGCGTTTCCACCAGCGCAAATAAATACAAATACCCCGAAGAGGTATTAACGTCCACACGGCTCCTCTTGCAAGCTATTGCTCTCTCTGGTGCGGCTCTCAGCAGCAAGTTCTATTATCCATTTAATTATGGATTATTTCCACTTCTCAGCCAGCGGTTACTCACAACACTCACCATGCTAGATATTCTCATTGACATGGAATTTAACCAGCTTGTTCAGCGCCTTCCAAAATCCATAAATATTGATTTTTATGTGCTGTGAAGCATTGCAAGTAGTGGTTTTGCGACAATTCATTAGCTTTCATGACCGGCTGCCTGTCGAAGCGCGGAATTCGCCCTGCACCGCCCTATCAGTAGTCAGGGTCTCAGTTGCCTGGGCGGGCATCACGCGAGGGCGTTAAAAACGGGTGTTTACATGGCAGGTTGGAGGGAGGTGTCTTCCCACTGCGACTATCATCGACATCTCAGAGTTTCGCCAGTCGTCTGTAAGTGTGAAGGTTATGGAAGTCAATTATTTTTTTCTACTTTTGTATCAATAAGCAAGACGGAATATCGGTGGGGAGGATTTCAAGCTGTCATCAGAACTTGCGTTCTACAAGCCTGATGAAAATTCGCATACCACTTTAACGAAAATTACTTCAAACCATTTTAAATAAATACCTTAATATGAGAAAGATCTTTTGTAAAAAAAGATGTATATAATTATTATTCGTAAAAAATCGACATTAACATGAGAATTAAACAAATATCAATGTCCATCTGCAAGTGAAACTAT